ACGAAAAATTCCATTATTGAAAAGCGGACATAAGTCAGATTTGTACGTAATTCAATTGCTTTCAACAGAAAATTCCTATATGTTGAAACAAAAACTCGCTGTCGTTTTCATCACAGGGAACCCGGCTATATTTTTTGCTTCTTTTAGAAAATTAACTTCGCTCTTTGTGGGTTTCCTGTGTTGTAATCAGTTTCCTTTTACATAATCTGTAATCAGATCTGCGCTGTGATCAGATAGGCGCTGTAAACTGATGGCCGATTAAATTAAAATCAATAACCGTTGGTAACGCACTCTCTAGTAAACACTCAAAAGAAGAGAAGGGCTGCAACAAAGCAAGTTTTATCGTATGATCATCACCTCGAGTTGCTCGGACCAGCTACTTTAGTACAACCAGCAGGAAGTCTTGATGATTTTCATGTTTCGATTGCGTCATGTTGTTCAAAAATGATCAAAATGTAAAACCCTGTAAACAAGGGAATTCAAATTTTGTGTTTTGTTGAGTAACGTTTATTTCCAATTTTTTTAGAATAATAATATCAGATTTGCGGCACACGCTTAGAATTCGCGGGAAATATTGAACGATACCGGAAATGTCCAGAAATCACATGGAAATTTAGATGTCTCTGTCAACAAGCTGTCAAATTCTTTTGTTTCAAATCGGACGTACACCAGATACATCTTGTTTCATAAGCTAAGCGGTCCGAGCAACTGGAGGTGAACATATAACTAAAACTTAGTTTTTAAATATCACTTTCTAGGATCGTCACTTTTACGAGTTCAACAAAATAAAACATCCCGACCCAAAGTTCATTTATTGAGCAAACATTTCGTGGGATTTTTATTAATAAATTACCTTTATGAATAATTTGAACAGGGGTTTTAAAGTCGGAGACTTGCCTTGTTACAGCCCTTCTCCTCTTTTGAGTGTTTACTAGAAAGTGCGTTACACACCACAGGTAACCCATAAGAAACAAAACACCAACGGGCTGTCAGTTTACAGTGCCGATCTGATTACAGCGCGCAGATCTGATTACAGCTTATGTAAAAGGAAACTGATCACAACACAGGAAACCCACAAAGAGCAAAGTTAATTTTTTAAAAGAAGCAAAACAAATATAGCCGGGTTCCCTGTGGTTTTAATTGATGATCTGGTGTTACTTAACATAATATATTCAATTGTGCTTCCTGTCTAATAGCCTGTGTAACGCAACTGGATATGTGCCATATCTATGGTCATAGACACTCCTGTTCCAATCAAGCAATTCCATCTCAGGGGTGGCCATGTACCTTACCTGAGTCCTCAGTGGCGGAAAGCTATTCGACATCGTAATAGGTTATGGCGCATATATAAGCGTGACCCCAGCTCTACCAACTGGAATTTGTACAAGAGGCAGAGAAAGACGACTTTGACTACGACTTCGATAGAGTCAACTGAGTCAAGTAAAGAGTATAATTGGAAGAAGATTTATTTGAAAACGCTTTCTCTGTTTTTAATTTCAAAGGCGGGCTGTGTGTTTTATTCCAGCAAACATTCGACCTACGAGCACAGGGAACCCGGCTATATTTTTTACTCCATTGGAATTG